GGTTTAATGGGGTTTATAATGGTTTAATGGGACTTAAGATAGTGGTTTAATGGGGTTTATAATGGTTTAATGGGACTTAAGATAGTGGTTTAATGGGGTTTATAATGGTTTAATGGGACTTAAAATAGCGGTTTAATGGGGTTTATAGTGGTTTAATGGGACTTAAGATAGTGGTTTAATGGGGTTTATAATGGTTTAATGGGACTTAAAATAGTGGTTTAATGGGGTTTATAATGGTTTAATGGGACTTAAGATAGTGGTTTAATGGGGTTTATAATGGTTTAATGGGACTTAAGATAGTGGTTTAATGGGATTTATCATGGTTTAATGGGACTTAAGATAGTGGTTTAATGGGATTTATAATGGTTTAATGGGACTCAAGATAGTGGTTTAATGGGATTTATAATGGTTTAATGGGACTTAAGATAGTGGTTTAATGGGATTTATAATGGTTTAATGGGACTTAAGATAGTGGTTTAATGGGATTTATAATGGTTTAATGGGACTTAAGATAGTGGTTTAATGGGATTTATAATGGTTTAATGGGACTTAAGATAGTGGTTTAATGGGATTTATAATGGTTTAATGGGACTTAAGATAGTGGCTTAATGGGATTTATAATGGTTTAATGGGACTTAAGATAGTGGTTTAATGGGATTTATAATGGTTTAATGGGACTTCAAATAGTGGTTTAATGGGATTTATAATGGTTTAATGGGACTTAAGATAGTGGTTTAATGGGATTTATAATGGTTTAATGGGACTTAAGATAGTGGTTTAATGGGATTTATAATGGTTTAATGGGACTTAAGATGGTGGTTTAATGGGATTTATAATGGTTTAATGGGACTTAAGATAGTGGTTTAATGGGATTTATAATGGTTTAATGGGACTTAAAATCATGGTTTAATGGGATTTATAATGGTTTAATGGGACTTAAAATAGTGGTTTAATGTGCCCCTTGTATCCTTTTTTTAAATGGGACTTACGCAGGGTGGTAAGTAATGGGGTTTATAATGGTTTAATGGGACTTAAGATAGTGGTTTAATGGGGTTTATAATGGTTTAATGGGACTTAAGATAGTGGTTTAATGGGATTTATAATGGTTTAATTGGACTTAAGATAGTGGTTTAATGGGGTTTATAATGGTTTAATGGGACTTAAGATAGTGGTTTAATGGGATTTATAATGGTTTAATGGGGCTTAAGATAGTGGTTTAATGGGATTTATAATGGTTTAATGGGACTTAAAATAGTGGTTTAATGGGATTTATAATGGTTTAATGGGACTTAAGATAGTGGTTTAATGGGATTTATAATGGTTTAATGGGACTTAAGATAGTGGTTTAATGGGATTTATAATGGTTTAATGGGACTTAAAATAGTGGTTTAATGGGGTTTATAATGGTTTAATGGGACTTAAAATAGTGGTTTAATGGGATTTATCATGGTTTAATGGGACTTAAAATAGTGACTTAATGGGATATACCCGGCCTGGTAAACATGACACAGAAAACGAGCTGGAAAGATCCACCATGCTATTAATGGGAAAACTCACTATTTCGACTGGGCCATTTTCAATAGCTATGTACAAAATTACCAGAGGGTATTCAAGAATATGCTTGTGATTAGTTCCTACCTAGTCCCTAGGGTTTGTCCCAAGTATAGCCGGGTAAACACATCCCAGGCGATAAGCAAACAATAAGTGTGGGCGGATTGACACCCCAGCAGCAGTTGTTCATCATGTTTTCGAGGTTCAACTAGGCCTTGAGGTCCATCGGAATTTGGACATTGGAGGCACCGCTATATTACCCTCTGGTTATTTAACATAGCCATGGTATAGATGGCCCATAGAAATAGATGGTTTACCTATTAAAAATGGTGATTTTCCATGGCTATGTTAAACAGATGGTAATACTACACAAAGACAGGAACATTATCTGCACGTGGCGGATGTTCGATGAGCATATTCACAACGTGCGAGAAACGCGTAGATACTGAAACGCTATCAGAGATAGGTACTGAAACGCGTTTCATCGGCAGAGCGGGCCGGTAAACCAACTGGTTTTTAATCTCTGGAGTACAGGGGCTGCTGACACTTTTTCACACTAAGCAGGGAACCATATCCCCAGCACACGGCAGCAGGGGGAGATAGGCACTCCCCTAACATGCGGGATGTATGTATGCAGAGTCTTACCGACCTCCAATGATTCAAGTTGGTGCGATGACAATCCCAAACTGGTTGGTCAAATCAACTTGGTTCAAAATTGTTTTCCTCATCATTCCTAGATTGACTTTCATATTTCTTGGCTGTGTTGAAACCACCATCCAGCATGTGTCCACCACCTGCTACTTTCCTGCCAAGCCTGAGGGGCCGTGACAGCATGGAGAAGCGTTCCTTGATCATCAGTGTTCCCTGGCTTTTTGTGGAAACTTCTAACCACATCAGCTTTGTTCATCCTTTTTCCTGGTGTAAATGGATGTAAATGGCCCAATTTTTATTATGAACATTTATGAACCACTCTTCTAGCGGTCTAGCGGATTCCAAACTGATGCCTGGAACTTGCCTTGCCAACAGGCTTCTGTTTGGAGCACCAGCGGGGTCTTCTTTTGGGCTTGGTGTCGAAACTCGTCTAGCCCTTGAGCATCCCACCGCCATGGTGTGAGGAACAAATTCATCACAGCCAGGTAGAAACCCCACCATTCACCCTCCAAAAAACTGCATCCGGTTGCCGATGCCCCGGTCAGGTTGATGAAGAGTATTCCAGGATGAAATTGGATGACATTGCAAAGGCACCTCCTATCTTCCAGGTGCTGCTGTTTGGCTGGATGTGGCCAAACACCTGTGACACCCTATTTTTTTGTAGATTGAAACGTGCCATGTTGATTGCATTCTTCCATCATCTACCAGAGTTTGAGTGACAGTTGTAGAAAATTTGATAATCATGATGGTTTCTAACAGTTTTTTTTCTTCGACAATAATCAGTGACATGACGGCAACAGCTGACTTCACGGCCAAATAGCTTAAAGTCCGTGATAAGAGGCCCCCCAATGTCCCAAGCCAAAGAGAAACAACACATCCTTTTTGCCATGTTGAGACCCTTATACTTCTTTTAGACTTCAATGAAGAGAAGACATCACTTGCTCGTTTCCATGCCAGGAAACTCCGGGTAGAACTTCCTGGCTTCCGTGACATGGTAATCTTCGATAAACACCTGATTTTTATCTTCTGTCAAATCCATCTTGAGACATATGGGTTTGTCTGAAAATAGGGTATATTCCCAATTATAGCCATTTAATAGGGATAATGATCATTAACCATTGGGTTTAGGGGTACACTATTTTCAGACACACCCATATTTCATCAAATGAAGGTTTACCATCTGGCTATTTGTTACATAGCCATGGAAAGATCCACCATTTCTAAGAACGATAAATCATCTACTTCTATGGGCCATCCATACCATGGCTACAGGAGGACGGCCGCATCACCGCGGGCAACGCCTCGTCGCTGAACGATGGCGCGGCGGCGCTGGTGCTGCTGAGCGCCAGCAGGGCGCGGGACATGGGCATCAGCCCCATGGCACGTGGCTCGGCGGGGATGGATCTTTTTTTTTTTTAATGGTTTTTTCTTATAGGAGATATATGGTGTTATGGTATTTTTATGATATATCTATGATAGATGGTTTGTTTCTTTAATATCATCATATATCTATAGGATATATCTATAGTATTATCTATGGTTATATGGTGTTATGGTATATCTATATTCATTCATGTGGGCAAAATAAATCAAACATGACTGGGAATGGTTTTTTTACATACCACCTATACAAATGGTGACTGGGGGATGGTTGGGGGAAGAAACATCCATTAGCCAGCCCTCATTGGAACGATGGCTGGGGCATCATCCCCTATACTGTTGCCTTATTTCCGGCTAGGGAACTATGATCATTTACCCAAAACCCATGGGATTTGGGGAGCAATATTTGGAGGATCACCCAACTTATAGTGCTTAGTAAGTGACGGGTATATAGAAACTGAGTTCGCCCATTTTTTGAACGGGAGGAACCAGTTAGAGGACTTACGAAGCAGTGTTTCTAACCAGTTGCTAAGTTGGTGGATCCAAGATCACCCAACGAAGGGCAATGCAGGGGGGATGTGGTATCCACAATGGAATTCAACTGTGTTGGGATATTATAACTACTGGTTGGTGGTTTGGAACATTTTTCATTTTTCCATATGTTGGGAATAATCATCCCAAGTGACTCATATTTTTCAGAGGGGTAGGTCAACCACCAACCAGACTAGGATGATTACTGGGATCATTGGCTGAGTTGATGAGTTTTTTAATTGTCCCCATGGTGAATTCACCGAACTGGGGAATCGGGGTTATATTCTTCGCTTTTTTTGAAACCCGGGGTTTCAGCAAATCGACGTCTCTGTCTAAATGCATGTGGAACATGAGCTATTTACATAAAATTGCTGTTGATTGGTGAAGGTTAGTAACTTGGAACTGGATTATTGGGTATTAATGTCAACCCTGGATTAATAAACCCCAAACGGCTGGTGAATTGGGGGGTACCATTTAAGTATTGGATTATGACTATTGGGGGAACCATGGTTTATTAATCCGGGGTTGACATTATGAAACAACACAAAATAGGGATACGGAATGGCCCGACCGAGATGACTCGGATGTCTTTGGGGGGATCTGGGATCCAACAATGGTGGTGGGGATGCCCCACAGCCCAATTTTAATCGTTGGGATTTTATCACTATCACTATGGGACGATTATTGGGGTGATTGTTAGAATAAATCATTTTTTTCATAGCCTTGTTGATTGATGGTAGGATGATGCTTCTGGGTAAATTATAACGACCTCACTGCGACCTCACTGGAATAATGGTTAGTAAGGGAAATCATCCCCAAATTGCCTTAATTCAGGTTAGTGAAATATATAATTTACCCAGACTTAGTTTCCTAACTGGTTGGGTGCTTCAAATCTGAAATGAAGTGACTGTTTTAAACTAGGGTTTGGGAGTGGAACGTGAAGCTCCACCTGTTTCCGGGATCTCATTGCGTATATCCCCAACTTTTTTCCTCCGGTCACCAAACATGGCACTGGAACATGACCCGGTTAGAGATGATCCTCCCTTTACTTTTTCCACTACAAACATTGGGATTTCCCATTCCAAATAGCTAGTGTTCTTGAAAGTTCACTGATCCCCGCAAAAAAGTCACACGAATTGCCCAATTTCCATCTATTTCCATCAGTAAACCCGGACCTTTGCCCATTTTTTGCCGAGTTTTTGGCCCATTTTTTGGCACCCAGGCGTGGTCTCCTTCGCCGACGCGGCGCTGGAAGCGCGGCACGTGGCCAAAGCGCCCAGTGCGGCGGTGCGGAAGGCCATGCAGGCGGCCAGGCGCGGTGAGGATCATCTATAAATATAAATGGTATTCAATGGGATTTATAATGGTTTAATGGGATTTTATAGTGATTCAATGGGATATTGTCATGGGATATACCCCCTGGTAAACATACAATATTTCGACATGGAAAATGGTCATAGAAATAGTTGATTCACCTGATTCACCCATAAAAATTGGTGGATCTTTCCATGATTTTCCATACTTATGTTAGTTTACCGGAGGGTACTTCATCTATAGTTGATGACAATGATATTGAACTATAGTTACAGAAATTATAGTTTGGATCATGTTAACCTATATATATATATGTGTGTGTGTATTCCAACCAAGAGCAACATATCAGAACAAACCCAAAACATACTTCCTAAGGGGCCCGGAAAACGCACCGAACCCATATATATATATATATATGTATATATATATGTATATATATATGATGGATAACACTGTTTCACTGAACATATGGGAATGGATTCTATGGATCAGCATTTTCCAGACTCAGACCACAGATTGGAATGTCTATTTTTAGTATTAACAATCTGTTTTTCTGGGGCCCAATTTGAACCCAGGCCCATACCGGCCCATACCGGCCCATACCCATATGACCGATTATCATTATCAATACTACTATTATTAATTACTATTATTATCTTAGCTATGTTTTGTTTGTTATTATTATTCTTACTATTTCATGTGTTGTCAAAACCCGGTGATATATTCATAGCATAATAATAATATTATATATATATATATGTATTGTTGATATCCTACCGACTTTGGTCAATATTATTGACTAACCATAGTCATAGTCATAGGAGGCAATGTTAACATACCTATTTTAACTATTGTTAAGTTAATTCCAACCCCTGATTAATAAACACACACACACACACACTCATTGGGGGTTGGGAACCCCATGATGAATAGACCAGGGTTTATGAATCCGGGGTTGACATTATTGACTTGGTCATGTTTAATCGTGGAAAAATGGCTTATGAACTATGGTGATTAACTATGGAAATGGGTGACGATCCTCCTTCCGAGTATTCCACTGTTGGATGGATCGACCGGCAGGATGTCCACGGTGAACTTCTACGAGATCCATGTGACTTGGATGGAAATTCAGGTTTGATATCCTCCCCATGTAGCATGAGAAAAGGATACGAGGGCGGGTTTCCTGTACGTTTGAGACAAACATCACCGAGGGACCTGTGCTATCATGTCTTTTGCAGATCCTAGTCGCAAGTCTAAGGAAACCTTCGCAGCGGTGTCTTGGTCAATTGCATATGCAGTGCAGTGGCCGGCTGAAACGGGACCCTGTCAGGGCCCTGGAAGCCTCAACGTCTCAGGTGGCATTGGCCAACATGCAGCTGTTGGATCTGGACCCTTCGAAGCTTGGAACTGGCGTGGCGCCGTTGGTTATTTACCATCGGGTTATGACTGACCTAGCCATGGAAAATCATGGAAAATCAACATTTTTAATAGGTAAACCATCTATAAATGGGCCATTTCCCATGGCTATGTTAAATAACCAGAGGGTAGGTAGATTTGATGAAATCACCTACATTGATGTTGGGTTAGTGATTGCAAGCGGTGAATCTGCAATCTAATTTAGTTATGATCTGGAACCATGTACAACATACATTTATGTTTGGCTCCTGTGCTCGTTTAGTGATCTGAAGATTGTATTGGAAATAAACAGCAAACAGGGTAGAATACCTCATAATACCTCTACTGATATGAAGATATCTTTAGAAATCACCAGAGTAGTAGGTCTCCTTGTCTCTTTGCTTTTCCGATGGTCACATTAGATTCTGGGTGGTGTCCCATAGTTGGTTGCAGGGAAAACTGATATAAACCCGAACATTTTCCAGCAGATTTGCAGGTCCACATCCCCAAAGACCAAAGCTTTATCCAGTTTGCTCCAACCAAGACAAACGGTGCAAATTTGTAGCTTTATTTTCTTTATTTCCTCAGTTATCCACCCTTGCATCATCTTAAATCTTGGGTGTTAGGAGCGCATGATCATACCACCAGAATATTTTATTGCAAAAATAGTCCAAATATGATATGACTAATATGTGGTGCCAATATTGCAATGTTCATAATCTTCATGGGGCCATTTAAAGATTTCACACACAATATACATCTATGGTGGTAAGTCACTACGATATTGATGAAATCCTGCCAGGGCCGAAGATTATCCCATTGGAAACTGGTTCCTAGACTGGTCACAGCCTTTTGAAATGCCTAATGTTCATTTCACCTTTACCATATTATTGAATCATGTGTTTCATCACCATTTTTAAATGCTTACACAGATATTTTCTTACGAGTTGATTTATATATTGTCTTAAAACACATTTAACATACCACACTAAGATGTTTTTTTTACAACACATAAATTTTCATCAACCACCATGTTTCAATGGTTACACTTACTCAGATGTTTTTTTTTAGTCAACTATAACTCGTTAAGTCAGCATCAACGCATCAACCCTCGAGGCGTGTCAACGTCAACGGTGGAGCGGTGGCCCTGGGCCATCCCTTGGGGGCCTCCGGGGCGCGGATCGTCAGCACGCTGCTGACTGTGCTGACGCAGCAGGCGCAGGGGCCAGGGCCAGGGCTGAACGCAATTGGGAAATCATGGAGATTTTCCAGCAGAAAATGGGGGGGTTGAGATTGTTTATGATGGATTATGATGGATTAAGACAAGTTTAAGATGGATTATGATGGTTTTAACTCAGTTGAAGCCGGTTGGACCTGGCCAGTGTTCCACTTGCAACTTGCAAAGTGGGACGAAAGGACGATGGTGCTCAAGTTGGGTAAGCACACCCCACTGCCTGGCATTAGAAGACAAGCAAGTTGCTGAATGTACTTCTAGTTTTGCAGTTTCAACTGTGTTGAAACACGTCTCCTGGATTCTCCTGGAATCCTTTGGAATCTTCCTTGCCCACACGATAGACGACTTGAAAGGATCACCCACTTCTTGCGTAGTCCTTGGAGTCAGTCACTGTCAACCTCTAAAGAAACTACGTAAAAAACAGCTGGTGAAGTCTCATACACGTTCACTTTCGTTGAAATAACTGGTCCAGTCTCATTAACCAGAATTGTTAGTGACCATAGCTGAGTTAATCCTCATGCCCCGCCCGTGGGATCAAACAGTCATAGAAAAGTCACAAAAACACAACACCATTTCAGGAAATTCAGTATTTCAAATTATTCACGTCGCTTCGCGACCGCAACCGCCCGCACCGCATCGTTGGGCAGCCGCTCGTAACTGCCAATGATGTCGGCCATTGAGACCAAAAACATCCGAAAGTACTGATTGTCGGAAAAAAAACGCGAAGAATTTGATAGCCATGTATAGCGGACCAACGCAGTTCAAAAAATAACGAAAAACATGAAAAAACGGCGAAATTGATGTTATTTACAGTGTTTTTGCGCGGTGAGAAGCAGAAACCACTGCAAATACCATGGTTTTTGAGGGTCAGGTGGCCAAAAACACTGTAATTTACAGTGTTTTTTTAACCAACGTCAAAAAACACTGGTATTTACGATGTTTTCATTCACACCGTAACATAAAACAGCGTAATTTACGAGGTTTTTGGAAGTTTTGAAGCTAGCCGTCAAGCATGCAGAAAACAGAAAAACACTGTAAAAACCAGTGTTTCTGCTATCACAAAACGACGAAAATCAGTCCGGAAACGGGTCCAAAAACTCAAAAATCCGCCTCCGGGCCCGGCCACCTGCGGAACCGCAAAAAAAGATGTTGCAAACCAAAAAATTGAGGTCAAAAAGTTGAAAAACACGTTTTTTTTTCACTTTTCGCTTGCCGATTTTGGACGGGCGCGTTCACGAACAGGTGTCTTCCGTACTGTTTTTTACAGTGTTTTTTGAAGGCGAGCGTCACGACCTATCAAAAACAGGAGGTTTTGGCCGAAAAAATGGGGCCCCCCAGGTAAACCTGTAACCTTTTACGAGTGCCATCCAGAAGATCACGCCCAAGCACCTTCGGTGCGGGCGGATTTCAATAGGATTTTTCTACAAGTAGGAAATTTCATCATTTTTTCTCCTAAATTTTGTACCCCCAGGATGCCGAGACGGGCTGCGCGGCCATTTGCAGCACCGGCGGCGGGGCGACGGCCATGGTCATTGAGCGGCGGTGAAAAATGGCCACGTGGCCACGGCCCATAGACGGTGCCAGAATGAACCCCCTTTGAAGTGGGTAAAATGGGGGTAAACGGTACAGTAAACGTAAGTAAAAGATAGCAAAAGTTAGGGATTAGCAAAATTTTGCAAACCCTTGTTGAAAAAATAAGCAAAAAGACCATGGCATCAGGATGCGTTGGGGAAAATCATAAAGATTGAACGTGTCACTGATGGCCCAAGGTTTCTTAGAGCTAGATAGGTGCCTCGAAACGATTGAAACTTGAACTTGAGGACTTTTGAGGGTAATTGTATGACATTTCTGGCATTTTCTGACTATGTTTTACTTTTTGGGAATCTTAGGGCTAAGATGGATCCTTTCGGACACAAGACAATACAGTATATATATAGAGGCTTCAGAGTATCATACATTTTCAAATTGTGAAGCAGGACTATTTCCACCATTAAATCATTTTTGACCCGGAAAAACATCCTCCGCAAAAATAGCATCCTTCCACCTCTCGGCGCAGGAAGGCCGCGTCAGGCTCTCAGTCAGGGATGCATTTTGAACATCCTTGATGATGATCTACCTGGTATCTACCTCCTTTGAAAAGAGGTTTTGATCACCGAGAGCTATCCAATCTAGCTGGGATTACGACTGGGTTGATGACATGAATCTGGGATTTTCCAGCTCTGGAGGCTATTGGCTAAGTGGCGCCATGAAGAGGTCTTGGTTGACTTTGCATAGACCTTACACGGACCTTACACATGTTCGGTTATGATTGGGAAACCCAATGATAAGAAACCTACATACCATTTGGGGATGGCTTCTACCACCCATATGGTGATTTTGGCAATGGTTTACTGGTTGGTGGTTTGGAACATGGCTTTTATTTTCCATTTCATATGTGGGATGTCATCCTTCCCATTGACTTTCATATTTTTCAAGATGGCTAGAACCACCAAGCAGTTTACCATTGGGTTTACCACATTGCTTCTGATTTGGGTTCCTGAAAGTTCCCTCGACAAAAATGGGGGCTCTGCAGAGCCCGCATGAGCAACGAAGAGTCGAACTTTCGGGGACCTATCTTCAACGATATCAAACAAAAATGGCCTGTGCACTTTGCCTGCTTGGTCGCCCATTTTTCCTTGCCGTTTTTGCCTTACATTGTAGGCTTTGACAGTATAGCCCATCAAATGATGGGATATGGAGTTGTTGACTCGACGAATGGCCCTGGTTGGTCATACACTGGCTGAGAACTCCAGACCTAAACTTCATCGCCATAGACCTGGCCTGGAAGAGATTTTGCGGCCAGCCATGGCCGGCCCGAGTCTATGGTATCTAGTTAAAGGTGCCGGTTCCACGGAACGGTTCCACCGAAAAAACCATGGGGATCAAATCCACCGAAGATGGGTACACCTTTCCATCACATCGATTAAACATCTCCCCGAAGTCATCAACATCACACATCCGAATCCAGGTGCTACTCCCAGCATGGGGAAATGGACACCACACATCACCTCACATTTTCGCTTCGACTTGTGGCCAAAAAGCCATGCTCCGCTCACGGATGGCTGCGATGGCTGCGGCTGCGAGGCGAGCAAAGAGCGTCACCAGGGTGGAGGCATCCCCATTGAAAGTGAAACGCCTTATTTTAGATTGGCTGGTTGGTGGTTTGGAACATGGCTTTTATTTTCCATAATATATGGGATGTCATCATATGTCATCCTTCCCATTGACGAACTCATATTTTTCAGAGGGGTAGGTCAACCACCAATTAGTGATTGTTTGTTATTTTCCCACGTGCACACATCAATGCACAAAAAAGAAACACATACAGCCAGCAATGACTCGATGATTTTCAATAATTTTCCCATTTAAATGCCCATGGGCCCATGTTTGATGGCAATTTCCCAGCCATGTTTGATTAGCGGAGTTAGCGGAGTTGTTTGATTTTCAGGAAGATCATGGATATTTGCTTGAAACATCCTGAACTTATGGATTCATGGAGAACTTTGGCTACGCTACGGTGGGCAAGCTTGGGTGGTGCCTGCTGTGGCGGTAGTGGACCAAAGCCCGGTCCGTATGTGCATGTTGATATTGCAAAATGTGTTAGAATCTTTGAGTAGTTGCAAATCTAAACAGATCGTTTTGAAAGGATTATCGGTTCTGAAGGTTCGCAACTTCGCACTCTTCAAGTTGTGATTTTCTAAACAACTGGCTAATCTGTTTTCTGCTTTAATTGGGTTGGTGGTTGGGAATGGTTTGAATATACTTGGCTTTCTCACCCACCATTGCTGTATCCATAGCAGAAAAAGGAGTTTGGAACCCGCGATCAGCACACAGTTCATGCGACCAAACCAATGAACCACTACGAAGCTATCCTGGTTGTTTCTTCTAATGTCAGTAATATCGACTTGCATGGCTTTATTCCAAGTTTCACCTTCCAACTTTTTGTGATATGGATTGATATGGGGCAACAACAAAAAATGGAGGGATCCATTTTTTTGGGGGTGTTCCATATTTTTTCTTTTTTTTAATTGAAAGCATCCTGGGAATAGCAAGGATCCCATGAAGAGAGGTGGGTCACCTCCTCCAACTGATCTCAACATGGCGCGAGGTCGGTGCTGATGGCCTCCGCCCAGACGGATGTGAGCAAACTCAGCGGGGCCTTAGCCGCGAGGCGACGGAGATAGGATGAATGGAAATGAATGGAAATTGGTAAGCAACAATATGGGGCCGTACACACACACATATATATATATATATATTAATACAATATATATATAACTATATATATGTGTGTATATATATATACATAATATAACTATATAAACTATGGGTGAATTGTAGTAACCCCGCTGTGACCAACACCCTGGAATCATGGTAAGTAAAGCAGAATCATCCCCAATGGCCTGATTTCAGCTGAGTGAAATTATGATTTACCGATGCCAAAATCCCGCGACATACATCATCTGGGATATTTCGCCAATAAATAGGGATTTATCCACGGTTTAACCACATTTTGCCATGGTCAAAAGCCAAAAGTTGATTTCGCCAGATATGCCAGATTGGGGATCATAAATTCATCAACAGGGTGTTGTGTATACCCTCTGGTAAACTAACATAACTATGGAAAATCATCACTTTTAATGGGTAAATCAACTATTTCTATGGCCATTTTCAATAATTACGTTCAATAGCTATGTTTGTTTACCAGGCCGGGTAAACCCATGATGTTCGGAGACTCCGTTGTGGCATAGATGGCGACCGTGGCACGATGTGAAAGGGACCTTCGGAATGAGAATCCACCGACCGGTTTCATCCCAGTTCTTGTTGGGTTTTGATCCAGATCCAACACACCTATTTGAGACTACCAGGAAGAGAAAGAACAGCTCATGATTTCTCAATTTCTCAATCTTAAACCCTAAATAAAGCCCCAAGCCATTGTTTCAACCGAATTTTTCCCACATCTATTCCAGGAATTCAACCCTCCCAAAGAGGTCACTCCCAAATAATGTTTGGGTTCATGTTTGGGGCGAGTCTTGCGCACCAACAACCACGTTTGGAATGGGGCGAATCGTAACCGTCTATTATCAACCACTAACATAGCCATGGAACACTATCCTTTTGTAGATGGTTTACCTACTATTTCCATGCCATTTTTTAACAATTTTCCATTTCTAATCCCCATCAACTAGTTGGATGCACCACAAATCATCGACTTCAGCTGAGCAAAAATCAACTTTGCCACCAGAAATCAACGGAATCAACTCTAGATTTTCCATGATTTTCCATGATTTTCCATGATTTTCCCATGGTTTCTGGCCTAAAGCACCTGGAAAATCCCCTGGTTTTTCCATGTTTTTCCATGATTTTCCCATGGTTTTTGTTCCAGATCACCGGAGGCTGCGTGCCAGCGGCTCGGCGAGCGTCAAGGCCATGGGCCCCAAGGCGGTGCAGAGCGCCACCCGGGCGCTGCTGCGGTGCCGCTACTGGCTGCAGCAGGTGCTGGTGAGGGGCCATGGGTCGCCCCAATTCACTAGTTGATATGGATGATACATTGATGATACCTTCTGGTAAACTGGTAAACTAACATAACTGTTATATAACTATGGAAAGATCCACCATTTTACGATTTTTAATAGGTAAATCAACTATTTCTATGGGCCATGTTCAATAGTTATGTTAGTTTACCAGAGGGTAGATGATGATGGAAACCATAGAAACCATAGTTAGGATGATCCATAGTTAGACACCACAGTTAGGACCATGGATAATTCCATAAATTTTGTGACATGTTTCAACCAGTGAATCGCTTTCAAGGCAAAATCTGCAGGATTTTCCTTGGTTTTCTGGGGTAAAACATGGTAAAAAACCCGTCTTTTCCATTCGGATCCTCCAGGAACGAGCAGATCACGAGACCTGGCTGCTGGTGGTGCCTGAGCTGCACGTCGAACTGGCCCGGCAAGACTGATTGCTGGGATAGGAACACAGAGCAGGAAACCATGTTTTTCTCCATCATATATGGGATTTTATAGGATCATTAAGCAGTCTCCTGTAGATTTTCCACTATCAACCATGTCTGGGATGGAAGCCGCTGAAGTTTGATAAACTGCGCGGCTGAAGTTGGTGCTTTCACCAATCAAAAAATGGGGGTTGATCAGCAAAATATATATTCGGATCTGGGTTGACCAACAAAAGCACTCATAAGACATGGTATATTTATGTGCAATCATGCCGATTTACATGGATCGAACCACTATTTGATGTATTTTTCATGGGATTTGGGCAGCAGGAAAATCATACGTGCAAAGGGGCACGGATCAAGACATAGGTCATTCCTTAGTATTAAACCATCTGTTTTGAAGGCTCAACAAGTCTGACCAATGACCATCTGGGTTTGTCCAATATTGGGTGAAGTGAGGCCCGAATTTCACCGTCACATCTTAATAGTATATGCGTTCTAATGGCATGATGTTTTGTTTGCCTGCATTGCTGCGGCATAATTGAAACTGGCAT